ACACGTTGCCGAAACTTTCTTGTTTTTTATTCTACATTCACTCACAACATGCCCTAACTTTTTACAATACGAATAAAACAGTTTTTTCTTTTGTACGTTTTTCTTAACATGTAGAGCAGTAGGCTCATTTGGTTTATGTACATTAGTACTTGTAGAGGCGCGTACAACACTAGACGAGTCCTCTTTTAGGAGAGCAGCAACAACATTTTCTGATGTGATCTTCGTGTTGGAGTGTTCAAGCGCCATGACTAGTGGCTGGTAACGCTCCGGAAGGCCAGTGAGCATAATTATGGCAAGAAACTCGTCGTCCATTGCGGCGTTTATGCTCTGTAGCTCTTGCTGTGTTGCTAACGCCATGTTCACGTACTCTTGCATGTTTCCTCTAAATTCGTTGGCTAAGAGCTTTTTCATTAGCCCTAGTCTGCGTGACAAGCCACTGTCAGCATACGCCTTTTTAAGGGAGTCAAAGGTTTGTTTAGCAGTTTTAGCTGACCTTATTACGGGATAGACGGATTCGTCGCAGGATAAGCAAATCTTCGCCCGTGCTTTGGCATCCTTTCGCTTGGCGAGAGGGTCAGCTAGGTCGACATCTGCTATTACAACGTCCCATAGGTCTAGGTCAGTAAGGAGACACTCTATACTGAAAACCCAGGTGTTGAAATTTTTCCCGGTCAGCTTGCTAATGGTGGCTGACGATTGTAGTGCCGGTAGGCTTACCGATGGAGTATTTTTATTTTCCATAGCACTTTTTTTTGCAACCAAAAAAAAAGTTAACCCATAACCTATTATAATTTTGGAAGCACAGACTGGCACAGACAAATAATACTTTGACAGTTATTTGAATAACTGTCGCATCTACCATACAGCGGCCAGGATGTTCCCATTGAAACCAAGCAGGTTTAACAGTACCAACTAAGTGAAAGTGAGATGGACTGTCTATAGCTAAGTCGATAGGAAACGGATCTACAAATCGTATAATCGAGCTTTACCAATCCTTACGTTTATATGGATTCGGCCATTAAACCCATAACTCGCAGCGTGACAGAGCGTGTGCTTATTGTGCGTCGAAGTGACGACGAAATTTCGGTAAGTAAATAACTTTTTATACAAATTTTATTTTCATATTTGGATATGTAAGTCTGAAATGCTTTACATGCATGTGTTACGTTATTTTCATAAAAATTGTTGAAGAAAAACAATTAAAAATCGTAGTTTGTCTCCTGACTGACGTCACGAAAACTGTGACTCAAGAGACAATTTTGGTGACCCCGTGTGATTTTCTGTACTAAAGATTCCGTTATAAGTAAATACAAAACATAATTAACCAAAGAGTCATTCATAAATGCAAATCTAAACTTAACAAACGGACATTGGAATGATAATTTTGAAATTTTAGTTTATATACCGATATTTCAAAAATATATTCAAACTGAATCGAAGTTAGATATCTTTAGTACTTTTTTTAGTAGAAAGCTAGAGCTTCTGTTAAATGAACGTGTGTCAAGCACAAATTCATTATAAATTTTTAAAGCAATTGTTTTTTTATTTACAAACAAATTTAAATCAGTTTGCTTACAATTTTTTAATACTAGCATTACATAACCTAACTACATAAAATTAATTTATTGCAGTTATCATGCCATTATCGCAGCTGAGAGGCGAAGACGATATAAGGAAAATGTTGAAAAGGTCCCTGTAAAATATGAGGAATATAAAAGAACACCAAGTGTGATTCAATGTGGTTACTGTTTCTTTTTTCATGATTACTCTAGGTATAGAACCAGCGGCTGATTGTTATATTTTTAAGATATTTTTATAAGCTTTAAGGCCCATTTAGATGGAGAGAGTTTCTCGTCTCGAAGATACGATTATCGAAAGAATATAAAAAACTTTCGTCGTCTAAACATTCGCGATTATCGCCCTTCCACGTGAGCGATAATCGCCTCGCCTTTCAATATTGAACGTCTCCGTGTAAACAGAACTTAAAAGCAAAAATCGTATTTCGAGTTTTTGTGCCAGCCGTTTCTACCATGAGTGCAGTGGTGAGTGCGTGTTTTGTTATCACTGCTTTTCTAAGACAAGAATTAAGGAAACGAAAAAAAGGGTTAAGAATTGTTATAATATAAAAAAAAATATATGTATATTTCTATACAGTGCAATGAACTTAATATTATCAGCAGTTCCAAATTTCAATGATTTTTGCGTCATTTTGATATATTCATAGTCAATACCGCAGTACACTGAACTCGAATGGCGATTGTCGTACTCAAAACGGTTCGAACCGATTTGGACGATAATCGTATGAAATTTATAAAAATG